ACCAAATTCAATATCCTTTGCTTGTGCCGTCTTAGGTATTCCAGAATGTGCTGGTCACTGGGCACGGCCAGTGAGAAATTTCACCAGTAAAATTATAAATACCTTTGGGAGTTATATGTGACCTGTGTCCATTGACTGTTTAACCTTAGTCTAGAGCAGGGGTGGGGAACCTCTTCATGTTAGAAGGCCGCATTAATTTAGCAGTAATCAAATAAGGCCGCATTCAAGAAACTTCAATTAGATATACTTAAAAATGTACATTATTTTGCAAAATTCTAACTGCTATGTACTAAATAATTTCAAAAAATGAAGACTATTTGTTAATTTTAAAGTTAACTAATCTTTTAATGACTTTGTTGTGTCTGCTTTTCGTTGGAAAGCATTTGAATGTTTGGTTGCAGCATGGAGGTCCGCAGTTTCAGTTGATCCTCTAGATGGGTATCCATCATTTGTGACCTTAAGAGCATCTTGAAAAATGTATTAATAAAAATAAAAGGATTTGTTCTGTAAAATTTGGATTCAGTCAAAAGGCCGCACTTAAGGACCTAAAAGGCTACATGTGACCTTAAGGCTGCAGGTTCCCCACCCCAGGTCTAGAGCACAGTCAGTCCATACATTCCATATAGAATATTACTGTCATTTGTTGAAGTCAAAATGTATTTTGTTTTTTGCCATAATTTATTTTTAATGTTATTTGAAAGAAATAAAAATCTTGGGAACTCTGTGTGAAACATTTAATCCTGTATCCATTCCAGAGAATGTTCAGTCATTTGGGGAAATCCCAGCTATCCTCTTTTATCCTCCCTACTGAAACCAGCACTGAGCAGGTTGGTGTAACATTAATGCTCTGTACTTGTATTTGGCAAGTATCTTGTTGAAATCTTGTCCAGATTAACAGGTAAAAGGTTTTGATCATAGATTGTGAATAATGAATCAGTGAGGAGAGGGAAGATAGCTTATTTTTATGTATTTACCCAACATTCACCAGGAGGGACATATAATCAAATTACCCCAACTGCTGTGTATCTGAAATTTTGTGTGAGCATCTTCCAAAAGTGATGCAAGTCATTAAAGTGGACTGTGTCACACGTGGTAGTCTCGGGGCAAGACACTAGACTGTTTTAGAGGGTTCTAGGTGTGTCCCCCGGTCAGATTTTTGTTCACATCACCTTCATAACCTCCATGTTATTTGTGGGTAACAGAATGTACCATATGGGTGCCCTGCCTTTAAACTTGCTAAGGATTGGTAAAAGCCAATGAAGGTTAACGTAGACCTTTCCTGGGAGGCATTAGAAATCAGCCAATAAGGACTTGCAACTAGAAACCCAAAACATAATAATTTGAGGAAAGAATATCCTGACATGGAAATTATTGTTTTATTAGCCATATTCAGTGAGCATATTCGTGTAGTGGTAGCAGTGTAGATTGTATGATATGTGAGAAGTACTCAGTTTTATTATGGGTTACTTATGCTGTTGAAACAGTGTTGTTAACTGACCTGAGAATCAATTAATCATAATCTTGAAACAGATATACTACAGTAGAACAACACACAAAACAATTTTCATGAAGGTTGTTTTGGACAGTACAGTTATATGAACAATACAGTAATGATGTCAACAACTGACAGGAACAATGTTTGATGCATGCTCTATTTTAAATTCTTTTATTTGTGTAGAAAGGGTAGCACTAATTATAAAATAATAATTGCATGTCATACAACTATGACAGTAGAGGTGGGAATTTGTTCTTTACAGCTGTACAAAATATTATCCAACATTTTTCTGGCAAGTTAAACTCTTTATATAGGGGGCTCAAGGTTCATGAGTGTGAATTATGCAATAATAGACCACTTATCAGGTCTGCATTTATCAGATACTGACAAGGAAGTGCGAATATGTCCGAATCAGCTATTTATAGACTCCGAAATGTGTGTGCATTAGGTAAGAAGTGTTGTACAACATCATCTTTGAATTTCGTATATCCAAAAAATTAGTTGAACTATTAAGTATAACTTAAAAAGCTGTGGTAATTCCATATATGCAAACCATTTTCTGATCCATTATTTATTAAAAATGATCTAGAAAATGTTTTAATGCCATTGCTTTTCAACTTACTTTAGAATATGCCATTAGGAAAGGCCAAGAAAATCAGGCAGTATTGGATATGAATGAAATACATTACCTTCTATTCTACTGATTATGTTAATGTATTAAGCAAAAACATAAATGCCACAAAGAATAATACAGGAAATGCAGTGTGAACTAGTAAAACAGTTTGTCTAAAAATATAAGCAGAAAGAGTTAAGTAATATGCTCGTGTCTTCTCAACACTAGTAAATTTAAAAAAAGAGACAGCGTTCAAATGCTTTGGAATAGAAGTAACATTTGAAAATGAGAATCTCATCAAATGAAAAGCAGATAGAATTAAAGAAATCCTTCCTACCATTTAACTTTTGAAAATTTAAATTATTCTGAAAAAACTACTAATGACATTGATTGATCATAATATATTACTCCGTACTTATGAGATATAAACCTAAAACGTTTAATGGGTGTATAGTGTTTACAGTAGTTGATCATAACAGCTAGATGTGGTCGGTATGATAATGTTCATCTTGAAAAAATGTTAGGTATTTTAATGCAAGTGTAGAGAGAGAAGATGTTTTAAAAGTGATATATGGACATCATAGTTTACATGAAACTAATATTGGTTCAAAGGTGAGAGTATTAAAGTTTGTGATATTAAGAAATCATTTTGTGTATAGCAGTTTTCCCACATCTCATCATTCATGAATATTTTTCAACTTCTGATAGGAAGACACAAATTGGTATTAAAGCGTACTTGAGGTCCTGTGTTAGGTAAGCTTACTTATACTGGCCACTATCTGGGTTTTGCAGAAATTTAGGGAGAGACTGTTAGTAAGTAAATAAGCAGTGCAAATGTTAATATTGAGAGAATCTCAAGAAGATAAACAGTGTGCAAATTGAAAGTATACATTCAGAAAATTCAATTTATCTGATAGAATTCAGTAAATGCATCTTACTAATTGGTTCAGATTCCAGTGTATGCCAGTTTCTTGGAGAAACATTTCATATTCAGGGCTGAGGATGGAGACAGTATCTTTCTCTGAAATGTTTGCATTGAATTACAAGTCTGTACAGCTCCAAAACCAAGATCATCATTGTCATTATTATTACTGTGAAAACCTCAAATGTCACATAAAATGAAAATCCTTAACAAGTCATCAGTTATTATCTGCTACCATATAGTTTATTGTTATGCATTAATGTAAGTGGGTGGGTTGGTATAAATTTCAGTGCTGTATGGTGGTAGATGTTTCAGTGTGACAGAATTAAAATTCCCATTAGTCCAATCCCCCCCACCACTTGTTTGTTTGTTTGTTTGGCTCTTTAGTTGTAAGATTCCATATCAAATTTGAAAGTTATTTAATACAGAATTAGATTATGGTAGCATGGTTATAAATGATTAATTAGAAGAAATGTGGAAGGAAATGGTCTGGGCCTATTTTAAGGTGTTTTGCTGGCATTCATCTGGAGGTACTGAGGAAAACCACTAGGAAACTCAGGATGTCCAGTCCTCAGCCAGGATTTGAACTGGGTTCCACCCAAATACAAGTCAGATGTGTTTCTGCTGCACCAATCTGCTTCATCCCAGTTGTCAGTTATTGGTTAGTATTTATTCTTAGGTCATTTAACAGTGCTGTATCAAATATGGATGTTGCTCTACTGTCAAATGAAATCTAAAGAAGTATCAAGTAGAATGAACTGGGATGGATTCTGGAATTGTGATTGATGAACTTGAAGGGTTGTTCAAAATGTCAGTTGTGTGTTTTATGATATTGCCACAATATTTTCATGGAAGGACTGAGGGAAACTGAGAACCTCAGTTAAGAAGGTTAGTATTCTTGACAAGATTTCAACCTCATACTTGCTGAACACCAAGCAGGATTGCTAACCCCTACACTGACATTTGGTGACATCAGTTCTCCTCTTACTTGTGAAATAATGTAGATTTTAAACTTGAAACAAATTTGTGTGTTTGTGATCTTATGTTGTAAATTTCCTGTTGTGTATTTGATTTAAACATTTTAATGCGTTCTGAAGTATTATAGATAATTTGAATTTCTTTCTTCAATGTCTAAACTTCATTTTAGATATATCAGAAGTTTTCAGTTGGAAGTTTTTTTTTAATGTTGTAAGCACTCAGTGTTGTATGGATACATGCACCTATTTTGTAAAAACTTCCTTTAACAAGAAAAACAATGAAAAGAGCTTTCAGTAGACTTCAGTCAAAACCATCAGCATTTTATGCAGTACCAAATAAGGCTATGAACAAAAACGTCATAACATTCACAAATTTTCTTTTGTCTGGTACATACATTTTTCTAGGAAGTAGATTGCACAGGTGTAGCAAGCATGGACAGACATTTCTGTCCGCTTGTTGTGTACAGTTGCTTTTACACACACAGTACTTGCTACCTTGCATCATAAGAAGTACAGCTTTGTCACAGCAACAACAGAAGTATTATGTTGTGTGCTTGTGCTCATATAAGCTGTATTATTTATATATTTAAACATTTTCTAAAGCATCAGATTGTAAAAGAAACTGTTATTGACATAAGATACTCCTATGAAATTCCATAAATATTGTGTGAAACAAGCTTGGTTTAGTCTCAATTTTATAATATAAACTTTTAAATGAAGTTTTCAAGGAGAAATAATGCTCATATATAGCCCAAATTTGTGTCTTATCAATATATTATTGTTGGGAGGGAGGACCTGTTAAATTTAATAAAATTCAGGTAGTCCTCTATAGAATGAGCAGATGGATGGACATGGAGAGCAATAAAGGGTGTTTGCTGATAGACATGGCAGCCATCTGACAGATTAAAAAATATATCTTATAGCTACGGCTGAAACATAGATTTTAGTTGGGTTAAGTTTTTTGTGGTTCTATTTAATGTTTTTCCTTTTCAGTTAAGCTACAAACAAATTTACATAGGCATAATTACTCAGAACCTGAACCTGAAAATAAACCTGTGCAGACTGGAACAGCAGTGTTCATCAAGGAGCTGAAATCTCGCCATTTTCCAAGGTTTGTATCATCTAATCTGTCTCTGAATTGTGAAGTATAAGGTACTGAGAACACAGTCAGTTATGCATGTTGATAATTTTTCCACCAGTGCTTTGTTGTTAATTGAATGAGACAGACCATTATCGTATTCACTGATCCTTAGAAAGGAAGAAATACATGGGATATAGCATCAGCACAGATGTAGTTAAACCCATTCATTCTGCAGTAAAAGAAAAACTTTTAATTTTATTTTTCTGTCTTAAAGAATTTGGCTTCCGCAGTGGCTGCGTGGTCTGAGGTGTGGGCCTTGTGCCGCTTGGTCGCAGGGACCGTGGGTTCGAATCCCACTCAAGCCATGGATGTTTTCTGTGTTGTATTGTCCTGTGTACAGGTAGAGGCCTTGCGACGGGCCGATCCCTCGTCCAATTTGTCCATAGATGAAGCCAACTAATAAAAAGTTGGGGACCCGTAAAGGGTACCGGAAAATGTACAAATATTGTTAAACCGGAAAAAGAAGAAGAATCTGGCTGTAAAGGAGTTTCAACAGAGCAGGCTTGCCACCCCTTTTTATTGCATTGAATATAAGAAGCAGAGTGGGAAAGATCTTAAGGAATTTTAATTTAACAACATGGAATTTCTTGTGTCTGAACACACATTTTTTTCTAAAACTTTCAGATCATGTACATGTCACTGCTCCATAGTCAGTGCCAATTTTTGTGGTGGCCTGTGTAGTATAAGCCTATTTTTCAGTCTCCAACTTCCATTCACGACATGTAGAAACAGATGAAAATATCTGTTTTGGGACATACACTGTATTGTAAGATTTGAGGTTTTCACAGCGGTGACTATGAAGATTTCTGTCTTCTGGGTTGTTACGCTGTGTAGTCTGGTCGATGTTTACCAACGTTTCAGAGGTCATACTGCCTCCGTCATCAGGGCGATTCTTCATCGACCAGACTACACAGCGTAACAACCCAGAAGACAGAAATCTTCATACACTGTCTTACAGATACTTTGAAGGTTATATGATATTTGAGGTTTCCACGGCAGTGAGAGAGTGGATCATGATCTTATATATTGTAATTGTATGTAGTATTAGAGGTTGTTACCAGTGTTTTGTATGTTTAAAATGTAGTGCGGATGGAATTGTGTTGCGTTTGCATGGACACCAACTTACCATTCCGTACTTGACACAACATGGCTTTGATGTGCCGATAATTATTGAAGAGAAGGAGGGTTTGGAAATGCTCCTGCCTCCTGAAAACTTCACAGTTCAGGATGTGGAAAATTATATTGGTAAGTAAAAGAGTTAAACTTGACCTGCTATGTTACTTTTTCAAATATTGTAAGGATTGTGTGCTTAAAATTTGTATTAGGGTACATAGAATTTTCCACAAGAAAAGTTTAACAGTACATATTGGATAAAGTCTTGAAGAGTTTATGTTTCAGAGTTATTTTAAAGTGCAATTATTAGTTTGCTTTGATGTGAGAACATAATTTTGTCATGGCATCTGTAATCTTCCCTTCTTATGTTACACAGGTCAATAGAAATTTGTTTCTAATTCTCACAATTATAACTATAAATATAATATACACGTTACACATATAATAGAGGTTGGGTGGGGGGTGGGGTGGAGTCTTGTCTCTTTGTCAGGGAGCAGCAGCAGTTATTTTCCTCTTCCATTTCATTCTGTGTGAACCTTGGCATCAAATAAACATTAATATTTAGTTTTAAATTGGAGATGCAAGGAAAGAGAGTGAACAATTATTTTGTATGTTTTAGCATATAGAGAATGTTGTTTTTAATTCTACATTTTAATATTGAATCTCACATGTGAACCAAGATGGCACCTATCCTAGTCATCATTCAAGTAGACTGTAACCACTTTTCATATATTCTAGTTTTTATATTTCAAGTCACCACCTACAGATGGAATGAAAAGCTTGATCTCTGTTACTTGAAGTAAATTTTTATTTTATCAAACGAATTAAAGTAAGCACTGGCGTGAAGATGGTACCGCTACTAATTTAAATTGTTAGTGCTGCCAACAGAAAGGGCTAGTATCTGAAAGACATTTGTAAGTTTATAGTTTTTAACTTCCATCCTGTAGGACCCGATCGTGAGGTGGACGTTATCGACGTGACACGACAGACTGACATTCGGATGAAACTTAATGAATTTGTTGAATATTATTTATCACCGCCAGAACAGAGATCAAAGATATTAAATGTAATCAGTTTAGAGTTCTCCCACACTGGGTAAGTATTTAAATTTAATACTTTTATATTTAGTGTTTAGTATTTTAGTATTAATATTTAGGTTGTGTAAGGGGAATCAGTTGTGCCTGAAAGTAATTTCCTGATGTGGAGAACATTTGATCATTTTTATAAGTAAATCAAGTACTTTGCACATTATTCTTTCACATACAACAAATTACCTTTAAATATTTATTCAATTTGTGTCTTATTCAGTACCAGTAAGAGCAGTTTCAGAAACTGACACTTTGTTCCACAAGTGGTTTAAGTAAATATTGTAACATGTAGTACTGATTATCCATGCATGCTTTTTAAGATTACATTTATTTTGACACACTATTACAGTTAATTATACTTCATTGCTGCACTTGAGACAACTGAAATAATAACACTTGAAATATTTTTGCTCTATCAGCTACTCTTCATATCTTTCAGTTTGTTGGTCTCTGAATCACACTGGTTTTCTTGTCAACTTCTTTGCTCATGTGCGTAACATCAGCTTTTATCCATTTGTTCTCATACAAAGACTGTTAATGTTGTCACTGCATACAGGTAGATACCACGGGGGGGGGGATAACAGCTTGCTGACCTGTGCATCATAAGTGATGTTCCCCGAAGTTCCATGGCTCTCCTCATAACAAAATTATTAGTCTACAATGTTTAAGAATGCTGTGTCAAAAAATTATTTTTCTACACCGATTGTTATTCCCTGGTACCCTTCAGATACCATGTGCTGAGATGTAATTAAAATGTGGTACATTGAAGTTAAATTATATGGATTTTGTATGTACTTGTATAAGACAGCAGTTCTTGCATGAAAAATATAAACAGTTTTTTGCAGATGAAATTTGTTAATATATTAATGAAACAAGTGAATACATTTAAAATCTGGAGAGTGAAATTGACATCACAGGTGAGATTAAAAGGGAAAACAATAGAAGTTGTATTTAATATTTTGTAATTTTAAAATGTTGCTAATGGTCTTAAAGACTGTTCACTATATTGCTAATGGTCTTAAAGACTGTTCACTATATTTATGTCATAAGCCACAGTGTCTTCAGTCTTCCTAATTCAACAGGAAATATTAGATGTGTTTTGTTGCCTGTCTAGTCTTTCACAAATGGTAGACGCCCCATACATTGCTCGTAAGCTGGACTGGGTGAATTTTGTGTGGCCAAGTGACTTGCCAGATGACACAGAGTTCAGAAAGCCAGAAGTTCAGAAGTACTGCCTCATGGGAGTGGAAAATTCGTACACAGATTTCCACGTAGATTTTGGAGGTTCTTCAGTGTGGTATCATATATTACGGGTAAGTGACATTCTTTCATTGAGTGGAGAAAAGTCATAGGTTTTCTTGCAGGGTAATACTGTGGAGTAAGGTACATAGCATATTGTGATATTTGCACAAAAATACTATGCCATGTCAGAATGCTCCATTTTATTAAGAGTCACCTCAGCATGTAGTGGAATGAATCACACCCACCTACCACGCATCATCTACATTTTATGTACCAGCTGCTGCAGCCGTACTACCGTTCTTGTGCCGGCATGCCCTTGCCGCAAAGTAAAGGAATGAGGCTCAGAAGCTAACACCCATTACTAATTTATTGACAAAAATAAACTTTTGTTTGCAAATTTACATATGTAAGATTTGAGGTTTTCACAGCGGTGAGTATGAAGATTTCTGGGTTGTTGCACTGTGTAGTCTGGTCGATGTTTACCAATGAGGCAGTATGACCTCTGAAACATTGGTAAACATTGACCAGACTACACAGCGCAACAACCCAGAAGACAGAAATCTTCAAATTTACATATGTTAAATACTATTTTTGTTTGGGATATTTTTTCATCTGATGTATTTTCTTTGTCATTTAATACTATTGTAAATAGAGTTGATATTTACCCTCGTCTTTTTCACTGGTCTTCCATATTATCCAACTGTCCTTCAGTCCCATTAGGTCACATAATGAGGACTCTACTGCACTGAGTCTGATGTAGGTACAGTGGCAGACCATAGAACTAAACCCACAACTCTGACCTGTAGACCTTCTTCCACTTCAATATTGTGCCCCTTGAAAGTGTGCCACAAGAGATTAATCTTATATTACTTGGTGTAGGGACAGAAAATCTTCTACCTCATCAGACCTACCCAAGCAAACCTTTCATTATATCAGCGGTGGATGAATTCCAGTACACAGAGTGAGACGTTCTTTGGAGATCAGGTATTACCATATTTTATTATCTTTATACATGCTAATTATATATTATGGCTGAGTGGTTAGCTCTCCTGCTTCATATTCAGGATGACCTGCTTTAAATCTCAGCTCTTAGACTGACTGTCCTTTGTATTTTATGGTGTTTTCTCAATTCCTTTCATCAAATTCTGGAGGAAATGAAATGTTATAAGATGGACTAGAACCACTACTTGTATAAACAATGAAGTTCCATAATATATAATACCCCAAAGTTTGCACTTACTGTTGCCTTGCTAGGTTCATATATGTTTTGAGCACTTTTGTTTTCAAGTTCTTACAATATTTGGTCATTAGTCAAATTAAAAAACTGTTTTTTAACCGTACAAAACAACTGGCAGAACTGTTGTATATATGTCTTTGTCTTTATTGTAATGATAACAGGTTTTCCACTTATAATAATTTGTTCTTTGGCTAATCACTCCATGAACCTCTTTTTTATATTAGTTATTGTCGTACTCATACCCATGGATTTTCAAATAATTTCAGATCATTTATGTAGTAGGGTTCTGTTATTATTTATTATAGATGACGGTTACCAGATCCGACGCTGCGTTGTGCATGTGTCGCTGTTACAAAGAGTAGTGGTGTTCTTGTATTTTAGTTTATTATGTAGAGTAGGACTGTACGGTTTTGTGTGTATGTGCGCGTGTGGTAGAACTGCATTCATCCCACATCAGTTACGAAAACGCAGCGAGTTGCAAAACCATCGGGTAGACCTTACAATGTTCGCAGGCAAGAGAACATCACATGAGTGTTGGAGTTTGTTGAGCGCAGTCCAAGGCGTTCAGTAATCAAGCACAGATTTACACTTCCATCCTGAAGGTCGCACAGTTTTGTTGAATTTTATGGAACACAGGCCAGATCTTTAGAACAATTTGTTGATGAGTGATGAAGTGCAATTGCACCAAGCTGTTGCAGTGAATAGACAGAATTTTTGTTACTGGTCCATGGACAACCCGAGATCTTCATCAGCAGATTTTCCATAGTTCAAAGGTCACTGTGTGGTGTGCTACCTTGTCGTTTGGGATAATTTTGCCTTCTTTTAAGACGACAATGGGTACACTGTCACGATCAATTCAGAGCGCTACACCAACATGCTTGAACATTTTTTTGGTGCCACTTATAAATTGTCTACCTCGGCATGAAGCTTTGAGGTTCCAGCAAGATGGGGCCACAACACTCACTGCTCACATAAGCATGACTACCATTCACAACTTATTCCCAGCTATTTCACTATTTGCAGTCTTGTCTAGGCCACCTTGTTTGCCTGATCTTTCCCCTCGTGATGTTTTTCTCTGGGGGATCTGAAGAGCAAAGTGCACGACACTCATCCAACTGACGTTATTTTAAAGAGATAAGATAATTAAAAATTAATATGTTAAGTATTTAGAGAAAACTGTGCTCATATAATTCAGATCTAACCTCAACATTAAATTAATGCTGTTACCCTAGAAGTATTATCATTTCAAAAACCATCAGGTATTTACATATATATGAAAATATTCCAGTGTTATTTTTTCATTATAATTATTTATACCACGCAGAGAAACACTTTGAATATTATCAATAAATAAATATACCTGCATGATTATACTAAATATAAATTTATTTCACTACTGTATTGGAGCTATCAGTTTGTTGTCGTTGGTATATTGTCATCAGATTTTTTTTTATATATAGTTGTACCATAATGTGAAACATATAATCAGAAGTTTGTGGGATTCATTGACTCACTGGAGCAAATTTGTGTTATCTTTCCTTGTACTTCATGACAAATTCTGTATTTTGTATCCTTATTAGTTTCCTTGGGGTACTTTTCAGGTTGACATGTGTTATAAATGTGTGATGAAGGAAGGTGAGACAATGCTGATTCCGACCGGCTGGATTCATGCTGTTCTCACTCCGGTCGATTCCCTTGTGTTTGGTGGAAACTTCTTGCACAGTTTGAACATCAGTATGCAGCTACAGTAAGAAACTCTGTTAACCTTTAGAAGACTGTAACGTTGATACATATACGAGGTGCGATCGGAAAGTTTCCAGACTGCGCCTATTTTTAAAAAAAAAACCGTACACTTATCTCAGGTTTTAAATTCATCCATCACCCTCGAAGTAGTTCCCCTGGGAGTGAACACAACGATCCCAGCGCCGCTGCCAAGCCTGGAAGCATCCCTGGAAATCTTTCTTTCTCAGCCTGTCAAGCACCATCTGTGATTCTGCCTGAATCTCTTCTATCGTCTCAAATCTCCTTCCCTTTAGCTGAACCTTGGAGGAGTCCAATATAATATAAAGAAAATATTTTTACAGTTTGTATCAAAATCTCTGATTATTTCAAAATTGAATGCTAAACGTATATTGTATTTAGTTTCATTATTAAATTTGTATAAAAATAATTGTGGAACATCTAAAATGTTCCATTTCATTGAAAACTGTTTGGATATTAAAATGTAAACCTCCTGCCTTTCAAGCAGGTGTCTTCTGTTTGAATGGGAACAATTTTGTCGTTTTTTCCATTTAGAATATACGAGATTGAAAAGAAGATACATACTCCGGAGAAGTTCCAATTTCCTGCATTTGAGACAACAAACTGGTATGCAGCTCGGTCCATTGTAAATGATTTGAGAGAGATGAATAGCATGGGCTTGAAGTGCCCTCTTACATTGCTTCATGGAGTTAAGGCTCTCATCATAACGTTGAAGCAGTGGAACCAAGACAAAGATGTAAGTATGAAAACATTTAATTATTACATTCTGATGCACATTACAATAAAACCTGTTACAGTATACCCTTGTTGTAATGGACTAATTTTTGGAAGGTGTGTCTTGTAATACAGATTGTCTGTTCATTTGCACTCCTGTTTTATGTCAGGCCATGATTTTAATCAGGACCACCATCAAACAGATTAGTAATATGAACTGGACAAGTGGAATGGTGAAAGATTCATTAAAACATCACAGTATAAAGTCCATTAAAATTGAAAAGTCTGCCAGTAACCTTTTCTTTGTTTTCTCTTCTTTTTAGTTTTGTTTTTTTTCCCTAATTATCTCTTTTGGTTGTAGTGGACAAAGTCCATTGAAATTGGAAATGTCTTCTAATGCCTCACATCTGGAAAATATTTGGCAATACCAGACGGTGTCCATTCAATAAGAAATTAATTAAATTGAGGTGTTTACTGCATTGACATTCCTGTAATGTATGGTTTCCCATAATTTACGTAATTTCCTTTCCGTCCTGTTACTTTTCCTATAATTTCAGCAGTCCAGCAGTTGTTGTCTTGGATTTTACGCCATTATTTCAACCATTAGGTACTTTGATGATTTAGTCACCATCTTGTAAACATTGAGTTTTCACGACAGCTGTTACTATTATTTGATCTGCATGATAATGATAATGTGTGTTATTAATTTTTGGGAATTACATGTAAAAATGTTCATATGCTGCTAAGTAATTTACCCTCATTATTTGCTGAGCGTTACAGTAAAAGTTTAAGGTGTAGGTAAGTACTTTAAGCTAGTAACTTTTGAATTTCGTGTAATTTACAGTTTTCAGAAATTTACACCTTTTTTCATCATTCTTCAGAAATGTGTAAATATAGAGTTTTACTGTATTTGGATTATATATATCAGAACAAAAACATACTTTGTGGAAGTTATGAATTTTAATTGTGTTTTGTTATGCATGTACTTTTGTACAATGTTCATGAAAACATTAATGAATCGTATGTTTTCACATGCCAGTGCATGTGATAAACCTTATTATTATGTTAGGCCATCAAAACATATGAACAGCGAAGCACATAACAGTGGTACATTTGTACATTTTTCTTGTTGTTTTTTCCTCTTTATCATCATTATTTATTTATGTATTTATGATATATTTGTTAATGCCATACCATAAACATTGACTGAACAATGCTGTAATCCTTATTTACAAACAATTTTTTTTATTTGAGACACGAGTCTCATTATTTCTTAGAATAGAGAATACGATTACAGATATGATAAAAATGCATCTTTCATTTCTTGTTTACTTAAGAAATGCTGTCTGTTTTATTTTAGATTAACAAGATTCGACGAGAGGAAATACCTATCAGTATTCAGAGTCAAAAGTTATTGAAGGATTTGAGCAAAGAAGTACGGCATGCAGAGCGCTTTCTGAATTCCCTGAATCCACCAAAACCAGAAAGGGAATCAAAAAGAAAGAAAAAGAAACCGATAAATAAAGATTTTGTGGACTTCTCACAGGCTCAAAGCATGGAGGAGCCAGTAAGTATTAGATTAAGTAAATGTGTGCAGTATGTATTCCATAACAATGGTGGCTAAAGTTTAGTACCTTTCCATATTTTCTTTGTCCTCTTCCTGTGTGTGACTATATTTCTTTACATTTGCCATAAACTGATTATCTGTGCTAATGCAGAGGGAATTTTCGAAAAATGCCGATCAGCCAAAATATTCTGTTTTGTTCATTCACTCGGCCTATTACTGTAGCTTGAGTACACACAATCTTTTTCAAATTTCTTAATTTGAAATATTTTATATGATTTATTGTCAGCCTGTGCTAATGTAAGTGCTTACGTTTCAGGTTATAATTAAAGAACCTCTGAAGCTGACATTGAAAGCCTTCAGTAAGAACACAGCACCCATTGCACCTCACCCCCCTCTGAAGTTAACACTGCCAAAACCAGCGACATATCCATATAGTACAAATGCCATTAGTGCAAAGATCAACAGTTCCACTGAAGTTGACAGTGCGGTCCTTAGTGAGAACAAGTTGATCAGACGGTCAATAGACAATCATGTAAAGTTAAAGGAAGAAGAGGATGATATTAAACTGTCTGTTTTTGGGGAACAGACGACAGGTTTTCTCAAAAGTGGAACTGTCGTGAGGTTTAAGCTTGGGTTAGTAACTGACCATGTCGTTTGTAACAAATGGTTATGTGTGGCTACATGTTACTTGAAGGTAGAGGATGTCATACATGACGGTAAAATCGGTACATGAAGCTCGCAATTAAATATAACAACAGATGACTGTCAAATGAAGGCACCCATGTGTGACAGTAAGCTGAGAATTGTAAAAGTAATGCTAGTTTTAAATATGATCAATCTGAGAAAAACACTAACTGTTTCAAAACTGTTGACTCTTTTATATTAATATCAGGCAATTTTCTTGGGGTTTTCTTATTTTATTCTATTATTTCTTGTTTTTAATTTTTGGCATTTCTTCATTTTCTGTACAAAGCAATGTTGACACTTAAATAACAGTTGTACTAGGAAGAATAATTTTATTGTGATCTAAAATTGCGCACTAAAAATTATTTTCAGAGCCAAAGATTCCAGTAGACAAACAAGTGACTCTGTATATGACTTTCATGATGAAAGTGACAATGATAGTCTAATAATAGATGAGTTACCAAAGAAGCAGAGGCACGCATTGGAATCTTTCTCATCACTTAAACTGCCGAGTAAGTTGTGTATGAATAAGTTCGATTTCTTAAAGTGGTGTCTCGTAATGTGTATAATGAATCTGTTGGTCTGTATCCATCATCTGAATGTTTTTAATTAATTGGAAATTTTTTATACTTCTACTTTAGGGCTCCTTGTTTGAACTAGTCTCAACATTGGACCAAGATTGAGACTAGCTCAACCACAAGGTTCACCTGAAGATACAAGTAGACTAACTTGAAATGTTATTGTTTTAATTAAAAAACATGATAAAATTCAACAGATGAGTTATGACTTTTATATGTCTTTCAATGAAATGCCAAACAGTAGAGCAATTTCCTTCCAGCAAGGAGATACCAGGTTTTCAGTCTCATTGTACTCACGAGTTATCCTGACAATGTTTAGTGTGATTTTCCTGAATTTCACGAAATAGATTGGAACAGCTGTAACAGATCTGGCCTGTGTTTGGGATGAAAATCCGACGGGCATTCACTACACTCACTCACTCGCAGGCTGACTGCCAGCTACTGACGCTCTCTGTGGGTGGGAAAAAATTCACGCATTATCATGAAGGTCCCCTACA